TCTAGTGACGTCACGTTTAGCCACACCCACCGACAGGAAGTAATAAAAATGAGCATTTTTGAAGGCTCATATCTCAGTGAAAAAATTTTTTTAGACAATGGGAGTTGGAATACATCATTATTATGGTCAGGCAATCATATTAAGCCAATAAAAAAAATTCACCAAAAATACACCGGACTTACCCATTAAAGTATTACTCAAATGAAGGTGTGGGGCTCAATGAAGCTCTTCAGTAGCAAAACAACGTCACTAAGGTACTCAATTGGGCAGTGGCAACTCCTGAAATAGAGAAAACTCATCAACACACAGTGATATGGGGAGCCAAAAGAGACAAAAAGCCAAAATTTGAAGCCTAGCCTCCTACTTCCAAAATTAGAGTCATGTTTAGTAAATTGTAATAAATTGCAGTCTGATATAGTAAACCGCAAGCCTATTTAATAAATTTGATTTCTATTAAATAAATTATATCTCATAATAAATTTGAGTTTTATAGTCAATTAGAATCTGATATAGTAAATTGGACTCTTATATAATAAATTGGAGTCAGATTTAGTCAATCGGAGTCTTATATAGTAAAGTGAAGTCCAGTATAATATATTGGACTCCTAAATAATAAATTGAAGTCTGATATAGTAAATTGGACTCCTATATAGTAAAATGAAGTCCAATATAATATATTGGACTCCTATATCACAACCTGGAGTCTGACATTAACTAGAATCGAATATAATGAAGTAGACTTATATAATTATTTGGAGTCCAAATCCAATATTAATAACTTGGAAGATTAGCCTAGTTATTAAAAAATCTAAAATTGCCACCCACTCATTATTAATAATGATGAATAACAAGTTTGTAAATAACCACTCAAGTGTTTAAATAAATCATGTTAAAGTGACAATGTCATTATGAGAAGAAATTATACCATATTGAAATCAGGAGTAAGAACCGATTTCAGAGCTAAGTAAAAAATTTCATAGTCTCCTATGAAGTGTTGTGGAAATATTATTTCTCCTGAACAAAGATGTGTAGATATAGTTCCCATGCTATCTGTTGTAAACTTATTCTTAATTGAGTTTGGCAGACTGACATCTTGCCCGTAATACTAAACACAAATTGCATCAAACCTAGAATATGAAGTAGAGTGAAAAAATGGGTAAAACAATGGAATTGTTCATATCCATAAATGCCTTCAAAATCA